TACATTTCAGATTACAGTCCAGTGAAAACGGATTGGCTGAGAAGATTAAACACTTAAGAAAAGACTGCACAAAAGTACTCCTTTTACTGACAAGACGGGAGTCACATATTTTTACAAAGAAGCTTCAAATGGCTTCTTTAGAAGTTGATAAAATTTGTTTTTTAAGGGCAAAAGTATTTAATACTAAACATATCTGCAAGTCTGTATTGAAAAGTATAACTTTAGTATTTTAAAATAATAATCACATAGAACATGGATCTATTTCTACTTGGTACTCCTCTATAGGACCTAGTTCAGATCCTTATAAAAGAAGGTAGCAAATTAATTAATGACTCAACTGAAATTTTTCTCTATCATTTAAACAAGATTTAAACAGGTTTAGGATTTTTTTAATAGGAAGGTTATATTAAGAAATGTTAAAAATCTCAAGATAATAAAAAAATCTGTACAAAATATCTACACAAAGTTATTCATTTCTTTATAAAAATACAAGTTCTACTAAGTGCAAGAACAATACTCTAATCTGGATGTGAAGATTTTAAAGATTTACCTCATGACATACAAATAAACTATGTATCTACAATACGAGGCAAAAAATACAATTCAATAAATTTTTAGTGAGCACCTACTATGTGCCAGCCTCTGGAAATACAAAATGTGGAGACTGGGTCCTTACAATCATCCAGAAAAGACAAACTTACAAACACTATTCAAGTAAGATCCCTTCTGGCTGGCAATTGGGTTGAACCTTGAAGAATGAATAGGATTTTGACTGGCAAAGGATAGGGAGGATATTCTAATAGAAGAAAAATATGACCACAGGCATGGAAATAAAAAAGTAAAGAGTAAAAATTACAACACAATGGAAATATATCAGGTATAAGTTAAAGAATTTAAATCTGAATTTAAGGAGTGACACAAAGTGGTACTGTTAAAAGATCAGTCAGATAGCAATATGAATGCTGGATTGGACCAGGGAGATAAGATATGGGGAAAGCAATTAGCTATTACTATACTCTAGGAATAAAAATAATAAAGGCATAAACTAGGTTGATAGTGAGAATGGCAAGGAAAAGCACTGATGCAAAGGCAAGTATGAAGAAGACCGATTGGATATATGACGACAAGGAAATGAGGAAAAAATAATTAAAATGTTTAAAACTTGATCTAGATGTCTAAAGCTTCCTAACAAGAATCTTATGTAGAGAAAATAATTTAAAGGGCACATTCTTTTAATCATATAGTGATTTAATGACATTATTAACAGAAACTGGCATCAATGAGAAGAGCAAACTTGGTGAAGAAAGAAAAGTTTCATTTCAGGTTGAAGTGATAAAATAGATTATAAAACTAAATTACAATGATAAAAACCCATATTTGAATAAGATCCTTTGAAGAAATCACTAAGGTAAATGTAAATAAAGTACAGTACTCGCTATTCTATGGCAAAAGGATGGACCTCTATTTACTATATTACCACCTAAAGATATATTTTTAAATATAAACTCACAATGTATTGAATAAAAAATTAATACTTCATCATCAGTAGAAAAATGGAAATGAGGGATTGGAGCACTGAAGAAATATGAGAAATGGAAACTGACTTAGAAGCCGCTGGCACAGAGGAAGTAGATAAGATTTTAAGGTAAAAACCAAAAGGCTATACTAAAAACTAATGGAAGAAATCTCAGTCCTGCCTTTTATGCACACCAATATTAGTAAGAATTGGCAATAAAACATTCTATTGAAAACTCTAATATTTCTCTCCTAAAATCTTTATAAACTGAAGTATAAATTACATAAGTGTAAAACTACCAGGTAGCTATAAAATTAGACCTGATTATCGCCCACTGTAGAAATGAAAATATACTCTAGACCTCAGTTCTAGAAAATCATATGTTTATATCACTAGCTCCATACAGTTTTCTAGCTATGGGGGAGTGGGCTATTCTAGAGACCAAGATAGCAAATTTGACAAGAAACACAGCTTTTTTTTCCCTACAGGCATGACATACTTCTTTCTTTTTTAAATTGATTTTAGAGGAGGAGGAAGCGGGGAGAGAGGGAGAGAAAGAGACAGAGAGAGAAACATCTGTGTTAGAGAGATACATGGATCAGTTGCCTCCCATACTCCTGGGGATGGACTGGGGAACCCAGGTATGTATGTGCCTGACAGGGATTGAACCCATGACCTTACGCTGCAGGGGAGGAAGCTCCAACCAACTAAGCCACACTGGCTAGGGCTGCATAGCATATTTCTATACAAAAAGAATAGCCAAAAACTGATTATCTTTTGTAACTTCTAATGAGAGCACATTTAAACAAAGAAACTTTCAAATATAATCTGCTTATATTAAAAAATGGAGGCAAAATATTATATTAAGAAGTATATTTGCATGTTGTGATATCCCTAAAACGTTTCTCCTAACAGTGAAATTTAGGACACTTGATCAGAATCAGAAAAGTAAATAAATATTCCAAAACACTAACCAATAATTAATCTAGTAAAAACATTTTAAGTATTCTATGATCTTTCTAGAAGCTAAATAAAAAACTATTCAAGGACTATTAAATAAATCAGTGAGTCAACTTTAGGTTTTATAATTTAAGTATTTAGAACAATTGGCAATCAAGAGATCCCTTAAAAACTTAACATTTTCTTGTAATCCTTTTATTTAAATGATGAGTTTTATTTATCACCTTTTACTATCTGCAATCTGTTATCCTGAATTCCCCAAACTCCTTGCACTCAATGGGGGGGAAAGGTAGAAGAGTTAATAAAGGAAAAATGAGAGTGAAGAAAAAGTAATAAACATCTTAATGCTTGATATATTAAAGACCTTGGCTTCACTGATTTAAGGAATGTGCAGATAAATTAACAAAAAAAATGTTATGCAAATGATTATGTATGAACTTGGAAACTTCTGCTTAACCACTTGTCAGCTAAAACAAAATACCCAATAAAGACTAAACCTATATAATGCCAAACTAACCACTGAATTCAATTAGGGAAGACACTGATAAGTCTCATAATTCTTGCACCATGCCCAAATTGAGAGGAGATAAAAAAAAAACTTTAAGAAGCCTGTTACATGTTTTTCTCTGCCTACCTAAGCCAATAATATTATTAGAAAATTTCCTTCACAAATTGATTCCTCCACAACAGTAATAACTTAACATTTCTATTTGACAATTTTAGTGAAACATCTTGATGTAAACCATTATCCAACTGTATCCTGACCTCAGGCATACAATAACTGTCTTTCAGAATCAATTCCATATTAAAATGTGTAAATCACACTTGAAAGAAATGTGGAAAGATTCATTTCATATAATTACCATTAAGATTCATTCTTAATGCCAAACTTATTTTCACTCTCAACACCATGTTTTTAGAACTTAGAATTATGCTATGCCTTAAAATAAACTTCAGCCAAATAATATATTACAGACTCTGAATTAATGAAAAAGAGAAAGATTTAAAAATCTTGGTATATTTTTACGGGGTGCCACATTCTGAATTCCAGATTTGTCCTGTAGTTTGTCAGTCATTTCAGTTCATCCAGTCAACTTTGTAAACACAGGCTTATAAGCCAAGTTTGATATTAGAATTCAATTAAACTTAAAGCAATGGTCATTCATTAAACAGGAAGAAGTAAAAGGAAAAATGCCACCACACACCTCTCTGAAAAAGGCAGCGAGGTAATACACATAAAATATAAAGCCTTAACTTTCAACCTCCCGAACAAGTTTTTGTGACAAGTATAAATCTAAATGAAGCTCCAATCGTCCACATATAACCAAGGCAACTTTGAGACATTGTACACGTCTCTCCAATGTAAGGGCAACCTTCCCTGTAAAGTCGTTTTCTAGGAACTCCGGAGTTGCCCACTAAGAATTAATATATGTCTTTGTCACCTATTACCGTGACTGAAAGACTGTTCTTTTTTTTTTTTTTTATGCAGAACGCTACGGGGTTGTGTTGCTTTTGGCCTGTTAAAGGCAAAGGCACATTATCTCCGGATTGCCAATAGTTTCTCCTTATTTGGCTAACATTGAGAGATCCCAATCAGACTACTATAAAACTTTAACATGCACAAAGCATCCATTTTGAGAAAAGTTTGTGACCAGCTTCCCACCGCCACAAAAAATAAATAAAATAAATTTTAAAAAAATCAGGGCCTGGTGACTGGCTGTGAAAAGAGTGCCCCGTGTTTATGCCCCTCTTTCTAACCCCAGCGCACACCCCGGGCCCTGGGGCTCCCGGATCTCTGACACTGCGGCCAACTCCTCATTCAACACTTTGGGGTCCGGCGGCGGTCGGCATGCCCCTCCCTTTCGGCCGGTGCACATCAGCTCATTACACCCCGCTTTCCCCTCCCCAGCGACCAAGAGGAATAAAGCAGAAAACAGGAAATCGTCCGCGCTGGGCTCTAGGCTTAGGCTCTTGAATACTATCATCATCATCATCATCATCATCATCACCGTCGTCGTCATCATCTGTAACCAAGTCCTACAAACTACAACACATCCGATGCCCCCTGAAAGCCAAAGACGTCCGACTGCCCCGCGTCCCGAATGCCCCTGGCGGGTCCTTGCCCTCAGCATCTCCCGTCCTCCCCAGCAGATCCCTGACATCGGGCCCCGGGCACAGCCACGCTACACCCACCCCTCCCGGCCTCGACCCCAAAGCCCAGGCACACGTCCGTCCACATGTGGCCCGGGGGCCCCCAGCCGACCACAGTCCCCTTTCCCCTCTGCCCCGGAAATCGGCCGGCTCCAACTCCACCACCGACCCGGCTGAAGGGGCCTCCAGCCCGGCGCCCTCCCGCCGCCAGCCCTCTCCCTCCCTCGCTCCCTCCCTCCCTGCCTCCGTCCCTCCATCCGCAGCGGGCAGCCGGCCCTGGCCTCGGGAGGCCCGGAGCGGAGGAGGGAGGCCCGGCCCCGGCGGGAGAGCGAGGGCCCGCGGGGTCGGAGAAGGGGAGGCGGGGCGCACAGACCTGGTGCAGGGCAGTGAGTCCGTCCACATTGGCGTAATTGATGTCGGCGCCGCGGTGCAGCAGCTTGAGGACCTCGTCCGTGTCGCCGCTGGAACAAGCAGCCAGGAAGACGGCGCCATCGTCGAACTTCACCTTGGTCTTCTGGCGCTTCACCACGGGAGGCTCGAGGTCCGTCTCGGAGCCGATCCAGCGCTTCAGCTGCTCGTTCCGCTTCTGCTTCGCGTCCGCCATCTTCATCCCCTCTCCTGCCGCCGGGTCTTCTTATCGGGAGGAGGAAGGGGGAGGCGGCGAGGGGAGAGAGCGAGGGCAGGGGGTGTGTGACGGCTCGGGGAGTGCGGGCCGGAGGCGGGCTGGGAGCCGGGAGGCGACGCTCGAGACTTCCAGTATCCCACAGAGCACTGGGGCGGCGCGCCCGGCCGAGCGGACCTCCCTTTCTAGCCGCGAAGCCCTCCCGCCCCCGGCCGGCCACCCGTCACCGGCGGCCCGAGGAGCGTAACTTCGCGAGATCCGGGCAGGGAGGCGCCGGCGCTCGGGGCGCATGCGCACTAGCCCGCGCCCGCGCCCGCCCCAGGAAGAGCGCTGCCGCGCACTGGCGGGGGCGGCGGCCACCGGAGGGAAGCGGGTGTGGTCCGGCCGCCCGGGCTGCGCGGGGGCTGGGACCGACCTGGAAGGGCGGGGACGGGGACGGGGCAGGAAGGTTGGCCTGCCGGGCTGAGGGCTCCTGAGGTTCCGGAGGCCAACCGTCGGGCTGTCGGGCGGCTCTGACGGGGCAGTTTTGCTTCCCGGGCTGTCACTGCTCCGCCGAGTCGTTTGCTCTGGGCGGGTATTCCGATTGGCTGCGTTCTTTGAATGGAGTGGAGGATAGGCTGTGCATGTAGTGCTTGTGGTTTCCCTAAGGAGCTCGGGTGAACTTGGACGTGTCCGTATCGATCAGAACTTTCTAAAAGTGGGGTCCGCGGAGCCAGGGGCGTGGGTGGTCCAGACGCCCGAGCTCAGCGAGGTGACGCCTGATGACAAGGGTTGGCCTGGGTAACTGCGCTGGCTTCCTGCCAGCCTCCGCTATTAGAAACGTCTTTCCTCTTTCGCTTGTTTGTTTTGTTTTGTTTTATACTTTATTTTGTTTCGTTTTTTTTCTCTTACACGTATTTGGGGTCCTCTTTCCTCCCTTTCCTTCCAGGCTTTAAGCCTGTCGTCCGGTACTACCCACGAGCTGAGCTCAGCTCCGTTACTTGTCCTGACCTTTTAAGGGATTTCTGTTTCTGCTCCATCGCTTTCTAAGGATGGGTAAAGACCCAACTGCTTCTAGAGTTAAAAAGGAATGTTAATAGTACACAGTTAATTCAACCGGTATTTATTCAATACATATTATGAGCATTGTTCTAGGCACTATTGATACAATCACGATAGTGGCATTTAAACCACCTTTTGAGGTCACGTGTTAAAAAAGGATGTAATTTGTCAACACAAAAGACTTTGTAACTGACTTTATGATGCACTACACACGATTTGTAACAAATACTAATGTCTTGCGTATTTTTAAATTTTTTCTATTACAGTTGACATTCAATGTTATATTAGTTTCAGGTGTACAGCACCGTGGTTAGACCTTTGTATATGAAGTGATCCCCTACTATTAAGTCTAGTACTCACCTGGCACCATACGTAGTTATTACAATATTATTGACTGTATTACCTACCTATGCTGTACTTTATATTCGCAGGATTATCCGCAGGACTAACTACCAATTTGTACTTCTTAATCCCTTCATCTTAACCTTCCTCCTCTCCCCTCCACCCCCAAATACTACTGTCTTTTGAGCTATTTACAGTCTCCACCAATTGCTATTCTAAACTCTCCACTATTTTCATCTATTTTTCAGAGCATAGAGGCAAGATAAGAAACACTTTACCACTTCACCATTGACTGAAACTCTAGGGGCCTTCTATTCTGAGTCCCCAAAGAGTTTTTTTAACTCGGCAAAAGGATAAGGATTTCTTCAACAAATTGTGTGCACCTGGGCTGTGTCAAGAATTATTCTAGATGTGGCAGATACAGCAGTGAACAATTAAGCTTTTCTTATTCTCCGGTAAACTGCATCGAAGCCTATCTTGTTGAGAAACAAAATAACTGGGTAAAATGTGACTAGGAAACCACCTGCCTGTTAGACTGGATTTTCTGAACTGCAATTACTAGGATAGTAATAGAACCCGTTAGTATAAAAACATTTCCCCTGAAATATTATAGAAATAGCATGTAACATGCATAAAATGCATCAATGGTAATATCAGGCCTTTGACTATGATGGTGTTAGGTGATGAAGAATTCTGTTAGTAATAAAATACAAAAATTCCTATTCACTTAAAAGACTCCAGACTACATCTCTTAGAATAAAAGATAGGAATTTGAGGATTGCCTTGTCAGCTACTTTTTCTCCTTAGGAAAACTGACAGCATAGCCTTACTCTTTTCCAAGAATGTTATGTTCTATTTGGTAGCTCTTAAAAGTGCTCTGGGTTATGGATTGGTATCCAAGTTTTCATTTGAGCAAGAGTGTGGTGGGAATTATGCTATTTCTATTCAAGCACTCCAGGATATAAAATTAATAAAACAACATAATAGTTCATTAATAAAACATAAATAGTTAAGTATCAGTTCCCAAAGGCTACCTGTCAAAAACCCACCTGGGCTGTTAATGTATGAAAATTTCACCTGAGTTTAGCTTTTCTTCCCCAGGTCTACTTCCTAGTTCTAGGTTCATCTAATTGGAAGTGCCCTTTTTTCTCCCCACTTTGGAGGTACTCTTAAATGCCACTTGCTTGGATTTTTTAGGGAGAATTTTTTTAAATGTTATTATTGAACTAACAATACTGAAGGCTTACATTTTTTTTCCCCAGAACAGGCAAAGCATTTAAAAAAGAACACTAAGTTGCTCATCAGGTGTGGCTCAGTGGTTGCGTGTTGACCTATGAGCGAGGAGGTCAAGGTTCAATTCCTGGTTAGGGCACATGCCTGAATTTGGTTTAGGGCTCATTCCCCAATGATGAAACATCTCTCATCATTGATGTTTCTAGCTCTCTCTTCCTCTCCCTTCCTCTATGAAATCAAACAAAAAAAGCCGGTTGTTCATATTACCTTAATAGCTGAGTGAACTTAAAAATTTAAGCAGCCCGGGCTGGTGTGGCTCACCCCCTGGCTGGTGTGGGTCAGTGGCTAAAGTGTTGGCCTGCAGACTGAAGGGTCCCGGGTTCAATTCCCAGTCAAGGCACATGCCCTGGCTGTGGGCTCGATTCCCAGTAGTGGGCATGCAGGAGACAGCTGATCAGTGATTCTCTCTTATCATTGATATTTCTATCTCTCCCTCTCCCTTCCTCTCTGAAATCAATAAACACATTTTTTAAAAAAACATTAAGCATAAGAAGAAACTGAGAAATGCGAATATTTTCATTTCCTAATGGCCTCTAAGTAGATTGGGGTGTGAGGATACTTTTTAGCACCTTTAAAATAAAACAACCTAAGCCTTAAAATAGAAGTGAAACTTAAACTATATTAATTTGCTAATTGTTTTTCTTCGTTGCAGCAAATCGTTCATTCATTTTGGGGTATTCAGTTATTAATATCTTTTCAAAGCTTAATTACATTACAGATATCCTCTAATAATCATCAATTTACTTGTTAAAAAGTCCAAGCTTTGTGTGAATTTTTTTCTGTGCTTTCTCTATCTCTCTCTGATATACCATCACCTAAAGAATCCAGCATAATATGATACTATTATTAACATCTAGAGAATGTAATACAAAAGCTTGTGTATGTATGGCCTTAGTTTAGTATTAACTTAACCAACGTGGAATTTTATGTATTCATTTATTACTGAACCTAAACTTGAAAATGTATTATTTGATTATGTTGCAATATGTGAACACAGAGAAAATGAAAATTTTAAAGTAAACCCAAGGGAAAAAAATAAGAATTTCAGAATTAGTTCTGTAAAAGATTAGTTATTTGCCATTTGGTAAAAAACTTTTTCACATGCAAAAAGAAGTTAGTTTCTGTTATAAAGAAAATACTGTGAATCCTTCAGATCTAAGTTGTTTCTTTGTTGAATTGATAGCTCACAGCTTTACTGATCATTACATTCTTTATGAAATAATAATGAAGGTATATATAATTTATACAATGTAATATATGAAAAGTTTCTATAAACCAACTTTTCTGTTCAGTGAATCTTTTATTATACAATTGGAAATGTATTTTGGTACAAAATGCACATAATATATTGATAAATACTTTTAAGTCATACATTTAAATTCTCCTCATCCCCAGTCCAAACCTGAGATTCTAATTTACATTTATACATTTGAGAATAGAATAGTTAACAAGGCAGTTTGTTCCTATTTCCTGTACTCTACACCTAGGCTCTCTCTACTGTGTAATAATTTCTTTCCAATGTTGCTTTTAGAAACCTGAAGAAAAGTTTATAATTTGCTAGCATTTTATTTTTTATTGATTTTTTAGAGAAACAAAGGGAGAGAGAGAAACATCAATTTGTTGTTCCACTTATTTATGCTTTCGTTGGTGGATGCTTTTGTGTGGCCTGACCTGGGATCAAATTTGTCATCTTGATTTATTGGGACAGTGCTCTAACCAACTGAGCTACCAGGTCAGGGCCATAATTTGCTAGAATTTTAAATTAGTCCCACCCACTTTGTTAACTGGAACCAACACTGAACCACCCTAAATTGCTTCAGACTCCACTTTTAGACCAATCTTGATTTCCCGTCATAGCAACCCCTTGCCTTACCTCTGGGTTACAAAGTCACCCTCACTCCCCAACTTGCTTTTAACTATTCAGGGTATATTCTCTCCCCCATTTGGCTTTTTCCCAAGAACTTAACTCTAGTGAAGCTCCTCTGGTCCCTATAAATAAGGAATCAGATGAGTGACAACAATCCAAAGTATAGCCATAGTGTTAAAGAGATAATAACTTGCCTCTAATGCACATGACCTGCAACCTGTATCATTGTCAGTGTCAGAACATCACATCGCCATTCATAGGAATGGCTTAATTTAATGTTTCCCAAACTTTGTCTTGATTTTTGCTAAATCCAGGATTATTATTTAACAAATACTATTATTAACAAATATTAATTAACCTTTTAAAAAACTTAAATATATTTCTTTTAAATAGATTTGTTTTAAAAGGGCCTAGCTGGTTTGGCTCAGTGGCTAGAGTGCCAGCCTGTGGACTGAATGAGCCAGGATGCAATTCCAGTCAAGGGCACATGCCTGGGTTGTGGGCTTGATCCCCAGTGGTGGACGTGCAGGAGACAGCAATCAATGATTCTCTCTCATCATTGATGTTTTTCTCTTTCCCTCTCCCTTCCTCTCTGAAATCAATAAAAATATATTTTAAAAAATTAACCACTATTCATTTTAAAAAAGGAAATACTATATCCTTCATAAGTAAAAAACATTTCCAGTTGGCATAAAGAAAAGAAG